TGCTGGTGTGGTTTCTCCGGGATTAAATTGCCATAGTTGTGATATATTTCACCTCAGTATGGTTTTTGAAGTTTAAATTCAGTTTTATGAGTACCTCCAAGGACTTCCAAGGTCACTAAAATCCCAGGTACTAAACTGTTCCAATTCTTCTCCCTAAAGGAGATCCCAGCAGAAAACATTGAAGATGAGTCTTTCTTACAAAATACAAAAGGGAAAATCTAACTTGCCTATTATAGCAAATAGACTCCTGACTAGTATTTTCCCTGGTTGATGCTTTTATCATATGTGTAACTTCTGACAAAATGCATTCCTCAAATTTATCCTCTGAATAGATAGGAGATATGCTAGATTTCTGGATGAGAGAAAATTGCCAGTACTGACACTTGCTTTATTGTGGAGTGATGGCAGTCTCTCTTTTGTTATGGCTCTGTAACTAGATTTCCTTTATAAGACTAGATTTAATTCTTACTCTTCCCCCTCAAGCTTTATCTGAAATTATGTTTTATGTTCTAATTTTCTTATGTATGCTGTCTTTTCAGAAGAAAATTTATGGGAAATATCTTTTTAGGGGGGAGATGCCAGGTTAATTAAGTAAAAGATTTGAAGATATGCAAGTTTAAGGATATACAAGGTGCAGGAGAGAAGGGGTGATATTGTATTAGAAACATGGGACAAAAAGTTAGATCAGATTTTATCTGGCTGTGCCACAGGTCTGTTGTAATTCAGTTGTCATGTTATTTATGCCAGATATTGCATAGGTGCTGTAACTCCCATTGAAGTCAGTGACAGTTGCAGATTCTCAGCTTTTTTTGAAAATGAGATTTTAATCTTTTACATCAGTTGAAGCACCCAAACAACCTGAATTTTGTCCTTTACTGACACAATGTAATAATCATGTGCAAAATCTATGCAATGTTTAAAAACTATACACAGTCAAGCCAAGCGTGATCCTGATTTACAAACAAAGGCATTACAGTGTAGCTCTCCATTGTTGTATTTTTGTCTTAATTTTAAATTCCAAGCCAGGTTTCATAAAATAAAATGATCCATTTTTTAAACTGAACTCCCAGGTTTCAGTGAAGTCTGACAAAGGGCTTTCAGAAGTTTCCAGCTTGCTTGCTTTTCTATATGCATTATTTTTGAGAGTATAGAGGATTTGAATCCCCACCCCTATTAAGCCTTATTGAGTGCCGCATCTCAGGAGAAATTTCAAACAAAAGAGAATTACATCTTTATACTGATATGCCCCTATCACTATAATTTCAGAGCATCTGACATCCATAGCACCTAAGGAGGGCTGTGGTTGTTGAAGTCTCCAAAACGTTGACAGTAAAGAGTTTGCTAATTCTTTTTCAGAAAAACCAAAAGGCCGCATCCATATGAGCATGGACATTTGTTCCCTGGGGACAAGTAGCAGCGGTACACCTTGCACTGCAGCTGCTTGTCCCTGGGGAATGCCTGTGCCATGCGTGCTTTGGCATGCGGCAAGCTACCCCAGGGGCGGTAGGGAAGGCTGGGGCCAGTACTGGACTGGCCCCAGCAGCCTTACCTGAGGTCCTGCAGGGGCTGCAGCAGGAGTTATCCTCCTGGGCGGAGTCTGGCTGGCAGCTGCAGCATGGCTCTGGGCAGCCTGGCTCCTCTTTTCAGTTGCATACACTACCTGTGTGTGCATTGTTCCACTTCTTTTTTCTGCGGGATATCCAGGGGTCAGAAAAGCCTGTAGGGAA